TGGTTTTACTGGACATGAATTGAATTAATAAAGTCAAATCCAAACACAAAATACAGATCACTGTTAAAAAGTATGCATCATACTTGCAAGGAGGTTGTCTTTAATAATATCTTACACTTACCATAAAAGCATTTTGAAAATGGTTAAGCAGCGTAATCCTCATAAAGGGAATCCTCGTGTTGTTAGGGGGGATAGTTTAGTTGGCTAACTAAACCTTTTTTTTTAAAAAAAAAACCCTCTTACCTGGCCGCCTTCTTTGACTCCTTTTCTGTGGAAAAAGTTCCCCACAGTCACTAAAAACAATTGTCAGAATAAAGAAGGCAATTAAGAGATATTGTGTCACAGATTTGTAAATACAAATATTTTCTATAGAAAATAAACTACTAATATTGCAAATAACTCATTCATGTCTGGGATCCACACTGGAACAAATACTAAAGAACAAAAAATAAATTTGTTAAGCTTCTCTTTTCCATTGGCTCATTACATATGTCACTCGATGTAGAAAATTTCTTGATGTTTTCAAGTGCTTCACAGAGCACCTTTTAAGTAGAAGACCATATTTCTTCATAGACTTTCATTACTAATAAATTTAATTAAGGGGAAAAACAATCACATTAGTTTAATTTAACCTTTAATTGAAAACCTGAGGGTTTTTTCCTGCTTTCAAGCTGTTCTTAATCATCTGCATTTGAGTAATTGAAAATTCTCCCAGATCATGCCTATGTAACAGTTCCATTTTTTAAATCTAGTTTCAGATTATAGAGGACTACATTTTTTTTTATATTAAAAGCTGAAATATGATTTTTTTTTCTGAAAAATGCACTATTTCTGATATAGCTCATAAATTAGCCTAGCAATCCTTTATCTTAAATCAATGTTAAACTTGATTGCGTGATAAAAATCATGTTTTCTAAAAATAAAGCACATACTTTTGCAATTTAGAGACAATTCTGGAGCACTGAGGTATGAATCAGACAGGAATGGTTTATTGGTACATGGAATCCTCATATAGTTTGACGTAGGCAAATGGAAATGTTATAGAAAAACGTTGCTGCGCAAATAAAGTCCGTGTCATTAAGTGTAGAATCTGAAAATATTTTTAACCCTTAGTAGTTAATGAGGGAGAAGTGTTCCAAAAGCAGTTAGCACGTTTGTTGAGTCAGATATCAAAGAGTGAAGATCAGGGTTCCTGTGTTCTGTTAATCTTGCTTGGATTTTATCTTTATGTCAGAGCGTGAGCCTTTTCACTTCTTTGGAGGGTCTTAAGATACAGATCTAGATCTCAGGTTGCAGCTGTAGTGTGTAAATAGTCCATTTGGTTTCAGGATTTTCACATGATTCTTGTCTAACCTACCAGCCATGCTGAAGTTCACTAAAAATTGTACCTTTTGTATGTCATAAGAAGGGCAGAAAAACTTGACAGAGAAGCAGTTTGTCTGTTCCATTACATGGAGAAGATTTTTTTTCTTGGCTGAGACCCAGGCTATAGTGGGTTTCTTATGCATCAGCTTTGCCCATGTAGGTTAGGAACCAGTAAAAACCACTACCCTGCCATCATCCTGCCCCAGCTCCAAGCCCCCAAAACTCACCCCATCCCTATAATACTAATTAACCAGGATAAGCAAGTGTGTGACAAAAATCGCAGCATATATCTACTAGAGTTTATCACACGCCTTTGACATCTTTGGGTGCGGGGAGAAATAATAGGCTCTTTCTCTAAAAAAAGAGAGGATTTCTCTAAAAAAAGAGAGGATTCTTTTTGTACCTTCTTTATACTAAGTCTAGCTCCACCAGAGCTTTTTCACAGTGAGATTAGAGTACTTGCATGCAATTTGTTAGACAGTATTTAGCAAGACTCAGAAGTGATTATACAGAAACATATGTGAAAAACAGAGGCAAACACAACACCCACAGTAAGACAAAGAGGAAAAGGAATGTGACAGAACAGTATTGAGAAGAAATGTGTAATATCCAACTGAGTTTGGGATAAAGATCAAACATAGATTGATACTTTCTCTCTATTTGAGATATGTTGTGACTGAAATCACGTCTCTGATTAAGCTGTTACCTCTGAGTGCTAAAAGCTTTCTTATTACTTGACAGAGCCAACTGAAAAACAGACTTGTGGTCACAGCCATCTGTCACCCGACATCTTAATCACCTAACTCGATGTCATTCTATTTCACTTTCATGTAAAATTTTTGTAGCTTCTGTAGTTGTAGTATTTTATTTTTCTTTTGATGACAGTATCATGAGCAGTGTTTTGCATGAGTTTATCTGTATTCAAGCAGTCATTATAAATACTAAGTAGGATTTGAAGCAAAAAAAAAACCTCCACAACCCAAGGTTCAGAAACTGTACCAAGATATATTTGTGAAATACAACATAATTCTTAAAAGGTTTATACAAGTTGACTAAAACAGTACTAATCCCATTTTTTAATAAGGTTATTTTCTTGTATTGTTTGTGCGTCAATGAATGGAAACATTGTAGCAGGTTTCTATCTGAAATTCAAGAACCATTGCTTCTTAAGTTTCTACCTCTGTCTTCCTTCCAGACTGCTAATCTCTGTTTAGATAAAATAAAGAAACCTAAAAATTTAATTAGGGACGTTTCCTCCCTGGTCCCCAAACAGTCTCTTGCTGAAACCTGCGGTACTTCCTGTACCACAAACCATAGTTAGAAAAGTGTGATTTAAGGAAGAGAAAGGGGTATGGATAAAGGACAGGGAGACATAAAGCTTAGCAACGTGATGAACCAGGGTGGGAGAACTAGGCCAACAGCTATCAAAGTTAAAGTGACCAACCAAGAGGAGAGCCCAACTGCAAATTCAAGTATATACTTTGTATCTTTTCCCTAGTTCTGCATTATTTCTCTTGCAGTAAAATCAATGATTGCACCCAGTGAGATGAGTGCAATATTGAATCACTAAACCAATATATTTTTGAGTATATGATTCTATCTGTACTATTCAGTGCAAACATTTAATCCTACATTTAACTTTAATATTCCTATACAAGGTAGATTGTGGAATCTCATCCTATATAAATAAGGGATTTATCTTGTAATATTTAAAGATTAAATAGAGCACTCAACTTCTAGCCAGTGATTAGTTTATGTTGTGTGCATTTAAAAGAAGTACATTCTGATTCAGATTTATTTCCAGTGAAGCAATAGTCATCAGTCAAATATGAAGAATATTATTAGAATTTGAATTACTTCTAAAACTGCAATGCTTTTTTAATGCTTCCACTGAAGTTGACTGTCTTGTCATCCTACAGATTTCCAGCTCAGTGGCTTATAGAATTTGCTCTGCATCTGGCATAACATCCATTTGATTCGTGCTGATGAGTCTTACCAGTTCTGTGTCCAAATTTATATCTAATTAATTAGTTAATGCTGTTTTTGAACTTCTGATGGCTTCTTAATGTGCTGCTTTTGCTAAAGTCTCACAGTAATTTCAATTTTCCTTCACTGGTGCAAGGTCTACAGTTTTAAAAGTAAAGCTGATTAAAAAAAAAAAGAAGTTTGCATTTCTGAGCCAGATTAATGTGTTGTACTTATTGTATAGTATATTTAAAAAACCTGTTGTCTAGACTCCAACTACTGCCAAGTACTGCTTCTGGAATATTAAGCTTTGTATGACGCTTACTCAGCATGTCATTCCAACTTTTTGGTATTTTGCTGCCTCCTTGTCAAACATCAGCTTGCCTTAAAAGCACTTTAATGCCTTGAAGATAATGAACAATTTGGCAGCAAAAATATTTTCTGACTGATTTGGAGTCCCTGCATAAACTACTTGGCGTCTGAGACCATTGAAACCTATTATACTGGCTATTTTAAAATTAGGATTTATTTCTGTTTGAATTTTGAAATCTCTCCTTGGGAGAGCCATTCGAATGTAAACGTATATTCTCCCCTTTAAGAGTAGCTTATGGGCTATAATGGTAGAGCATTTTTGCATTTTTATGTTTAGTTTTATTGTAAAGAGCCTTGGGATGCATTTGCATGAAAGGCACTATATAAGCTCATTTTGTATTGCATTGTATTGTATTGTGACAAGTGTAATAATCTCCAGGTTTCCTATCCATTAAAGAACTAATTTCACAGCTCACTAATTATGTGAATGAGAAGGGGAAATAGGTCCTTTTTCTCTAAGGTATGCTGAGCAGATGGCATAGCATTCATTTCCAACAGATGAATCTAAGGTCCTCTCTTGCTTTTGGTTCCAAGGCTTGCCTCTGTTGATCAAATAGAACAGGAGAGAGATGTCGGTTTCTTGTACAGCATGACAGTGTGTACTGAGAGGCTGCCTCTGTCCTTTGCTAATACAACATTAGTTAGCATATACCAGGTCCAATCAGCCTATTTATTTAGGGTGAGACATGAAAACCATTAAAATGAATGTGCATTTTAATGCAATTCTAATTTGCCTCTGATTTATAGAAAACACTGCTCACATTCATCCTAGGGATTTAAACTGATACCCAGTAAAAATTATTAATGAATCAGTTGAGTGCCTTTGGGACTGTATCTGGTCTGTAATTTCAAAACAGAGAAACATTACTTCCTTAGCCTGTGTATTTTCCTTCATAGGTAACGTTTTGCAACCTTGCTAATATTTTTTTTTTTTCTTCACCTCGCTCGTGGAAATAACTGACTTGAATCAAACAGTGATTTATATAGCCCCTTAACGCACTGCTTTTTTAAGGTAACATGAGTCATCAGAGATACCAGTGTTCTCCTGTGATCCTGAAAAGTTGGTATTTGGGCCCTTATTTCAGCATTAAAAAGAGAAAAGCTGAGACTGAAAGTCCTGGCATATCTTATGTAGGACTTGGCAATAAGGCTGCATTTTGCAGTGCTACACAAGCAATCAGATCATTTTCTCCCTCTAACATAGTAGACAGTGCTAATTTTTTGTTTCCTTCTCTCTCTTCTGGACTGTCACATGTTTTTGTTTTATGTTCATGGTTCTGATTTCGTTCTAATTTCAGACGGACGCAGCACTAATGTATGATGCCGTTCATGTGGTGTCAGTGGCAGTCCAGCAGTTCCCACAGATGACTGTCAGTTCACTACAGTGTAATCGCCACAAACCGTGGCGCTTTGGGACCCGCTTTATGAGTCTCATTAAGGAGGTAAGTCACTAATAAAGTATCCTGCTCCACTACTTTCCTTTCTCCCAACTCAAATTTTGTTTCCTTTCCACTCTACTTGAATTCTGCCTTTTTTTATTTTTTAATAATTGAGAATCTCTCAGGTTGTTATGTTTAAAGAGTTTAACAGGCCAGACAGTTAAATTTTTATTTGGAAGTGGGTTTTTCTGAGTTTTTAGTTGGAACAGAGAAACATAAAAGGGTGAAATAACTGCATTCTCAATAAACCTCTTGTTTGTAGATAGTTGGGAGCGGAGTGAAGGGGTGGGTGGGTAGTGCTGGAACATTTGTCACATAAAAACCCAAACGCTTGAAACCCCAAAGCATAGACTGCCTATGAAAAATTCAGCAACTAAATATCGGCATAAGTTCAAAGGGGCCAAGAATGAATTTTGTTCCCTCATTTTAATTTCCTTTAATTCGCTGTGATGAATTAATAATATTAATTGATCTCCTAGTATGTTGTTTAGATACTGATAGATAGTGATTTAAAGTAAAGCTAGGAGATTTAAGGTGCTGAAGGTGAACATTGTAGAGTGTTCAAGTCTCTTGTACTGTAAGTAATTCCTAGGATTTCTCATTCTAGATATGCAAAATACTATGATAGGGAGAACTATTTGCAATGGAATATAATCCTGGCTTTAATATTGGTTCCTTTTAGGATGATAATTTTGTTTTCCACATTCTCTCCTCTACTTTAGTATAGTTTTAGAACTAGTTAGACTTTAAGTTATGAAAAAATGACAATATCTCACTTTATTAAAAGAAAAGAATGAGCTCTGGAAGACTGGCTCAGTGACCTCACTTTTTGCTGTCTCTGTGATTTCAAGGGACTCAGAATATTACAAAAGTAAGCCTTTATTTGAATGAAACTTCCTGATAGAAAAGTGAAATTCAGCATTAATGAAAGAAATTGAGACTTAAGAGAGGCGGTGGGGCATGTAGGGAAGCAGAAGGGGAAACGAATGCATGAATGATGGAGGAATGAAAAAACCTAGCCTTTTATCTCATTTAGTAAAAAGAGTCTATTGGCTAACATGGAAAGTTGTTTTAGAAATTGTCTATGAAGACTGAAGAAAGGCTGATTTAATTAGCAAAAAGTGAGCAAAATATTTTTTAAAAAAGTCAGCCACAAGGTAAATTATTTAGATAGAAGGAATAACTAATGTTCGTACTTTGTTCTTTTGGGGCAAAAAAAGGAAGAGCTATTTATTTATATAAATTATTTTTTCTTTCTCCATAGGCCCACTGGGAAGGCCTCACAGGCAGGATAACTTTCAACAAAACCAATGGCTTAAGGACAGATTTTGATTTAGATGTTATCAGTCTCAAGGAAGAAGGCCTTGAAAAGGTGTGTAAGATGTTTTCCTCCAAAGTAATGAGAAACAAAACAAAACCTCACCCCCTAAAAACAGTAGCATTTTCAATAACATTTCATGGGTTGCATGTTCGCAACTTGATACCTGATTTCAAAGTCTTCTATTAAAAACTCTTATTTATCTTGATATCTGACAGTTAGTGGTCTTTTAATTGTGAGCTTCTAGTTGCATTCTTAGATTCAAGAGGATTGGGAAAGCATGAACAGCCGGATCTGGAGTAATTCATTAATATACTTTATCTTCAGTCTCTTTTGAGTTTAGTTTTACTTGTCATTACAATCCCATTGCCTATCCTCGTGTGTGAACCTGTGGGTATTTGTATTTGTATTTTCTTTACACCTTACTAATTCAGGAAGAATTACCCCCAAAACAATGAAATAAAATGGCTTCATTTTGGCAATTTTCTGTGTTTTAAGAGGGAACTTTGATTCTCTCCTTGAAATACAAAGTTTCTATTTGTAAATGGTACTAAAATAATAAGAATAGGTAGCCTTACAGATTTTTCTGTCTTCTGATATGAATTTTTTTGTACAGAGGTGGAGTGAAACACCAAATGATTGAGAAATACCTTTCTGTGTAGCCTAATATTGTCTATATTTGAACTAAAGGCCTTGGAAAGCACATACAGATATTTGGCCTGTGTACATAACATAACGATGATCTGAAATCAGATCATCTTCCCTCCCTTCTCCAGCCACCCTGCAATGGAGAGGCAATGAAGGAAGCTGCAGTGTCTCGCGTTGTGATCAGCAGACAAAGGTTTTGTGATTTGCATCTGCCTTGTAGTTTGTATTTAGCTGTGGTGTTCAGTGTTTTGTAAGCACTATGTTTTCCTTCGTCTTCAGATAAAGTTTTATCAGCTGTTGTCCCAAGGTAATATTGTGGCCACAAATGAAAATAGAAATTAAGGGAAGGCACCAGGCTGCAGAGTTACATTTGCTTTCTTCTTTAAATCATTGAATGGAGACACTAGCATAAACAATGTATTTCTCCAAAACTTTTCCCCTTTTCCTTCTTTTACTAAGAAGATTTTTAAAAAGTTTAGAAGACATAAGCTTGCTTTGACACACTTACATAGGTAATAACATTTTTGAAAATGTCCACTGGCAAACCTGTAATTAAAGGACTAAATTATATTTTAAAACATTCAGTAATGCACTAATAGTAAAGAGTGTTCCTATGAAGTATTCCATGAAGAGAGTTCTGGAAACTTAGGGAAACGAGTGGGGGGTGAGGGAGGCGGGAGGTATATCGGCATGATTAAATTTGAAAAGCAAATTAGCTTTATGTACGAGTAGAATAGGTGCAGTGCAACCTGTCTTCCTTACTGGAAACAGAAATGGAAGAATTGATGACATGGGAATAGCTAAATAGGTCAGTAGTGTCTGAAGAGTCACTGAAGTGATAACAGTTGAGAATAAGGAAAGGAAGACTATGTCATCTAGGATGGCTTTAAGAACATTGGGTGACATTTGAGAACCATCAAGCAACATGGGTTTTCTGGAGAATAAAAAATTTACAGTGTACTTAATTTCTTTTCAGGCAGAAATGCAAAATAATTAAAGAAATACATACAGTCTAATATATTTGTCTTTTAATGACATACTTGATACTACTCCACAATACTATTAAAAAAGAGTGGGCTTTATTATGAAATTTTCTATGTGAACTGGAAATTTTATGAGAGAATATTGGCTTGAAATATTGCATAATAGATGCACAGTGGGCTAAAGGAATGATAATTTCCATCTGGATCTGTGTTAGGTCTGTTCTTAGTTTCATATGAAAGCAGAAACACAAAATCGTGTTCATACAGTTCTCTGTTGACAATGTATTAGGAGATATGTACCCCACTGAAAATATAGAAATAAAAAGGTCTACAGAGATCAGAAACATGGGAAGAAAATAAAATTTAACAGGAAATACAGTATTCTAAGGCACATAATAGAAAAAAGGAACTTGGGAAACAGTAATAATGAAAGATATGTAAGAGACAACAACGGAAATAGTTGTAAAAGGATAGGGATATTTAAAACCAACCAGCATATTCTTGAGCTCCCTATGCAGAAATCCACAGAGAGGGAAGATACTTTTACTGCCTCCTAGCTCATTTTGGCCATGTAATCAAGGTATGTGATAATACTATTTTTCATCAAAACGTGCTGACAATCTTTGGAAAGTGCAGTAAGAATTAGTTATCCTGTTTCAGAAAGGTTTAGGACTTAAGAAAGTGTTAGCAAAGAAAGATGAGGAATGCTACGCAGATTCAAAGATACCTAAGAGCAAAAGCAGAGCAGTTTCTGTAGAGTGTAGAGATATGAGGTTAGGAAAAGGGTTGAGGGGAAAAGGGTGTATGCACATTAAATTGAGTTACTTAGTAAATATTTGAAGTGTATAGGATATTTTACCTAAGAAAGAGAAATCAATACTGACAAAATTTCTTCTTTGAAAAAAACTTGGCTATTCTGAAAGAATGCAAACCCTATTTTTGAAACCAGGGTGAATCATTAAACTCCAGAGCAGGACACTTCCTGGTAGAAAGAGTACATTTTAGACAGTCCTTTTGTTTAGAAGAGCTGTCTCAAAGGGCATTTTTTTTTCCCACAAAATTGCCTTCTGTTAAAGCTCTGATGAATCCTACTCCCTTCTCTCTGTCCCCTACTTCCTTCTCTTCACATGTGCACTCCATCGCTCTGCATCACA